GTGTGTGTGTGTGTGTGTGTGTGTGTGTGTGTGTGTGTGTGTGTGTGTGTGTGTGTGTGTGTGTGTGTGTGTGTGTTGTGAGTTGTGGGGACTGGACTTCGTTTCGGGGACATAATGGTAATCATTACATTTTATGGCCTTGGTTTATGGTTAGTTAGTCTCCAGAAAACATATGTAAATGAATGTTATTTACTCTAAGATGATCGAAACACAACAGTGTGTGTTTGTGTGTGTGTGGGATCATACATATTATCTACAGTAACATTTCCGCGACCCCTATCCACTATCGGGAGAAAATGCAAGTCCCCATATCGTCAATCATTACATTTTAGTTTTAAGATAAGTGTTAAAGTCAGTCTCTAGAAAAGTATTTAACTCAATGTATTGTGGTATATCAGTGTGTGTGTGTGTGTGTGTGTGTGTGGCCTAGCATTACCATCCTTGTGGGGACCTAAATCTGTTTACACAGCCACGTGTGGGGACTCGCCCCCCTTATGGGGACAGGGTGAAGACTTGGTTAGGGTTAGGGTTAGGCATGTGTTGGTTATGGTTAAGGTTAGGATAAGTCTCAAGGAAATGCATGTAAGTCAATGTAATGTCCCCTGAAGTGGTGTGTGTGTGTGTGTGTGTGTGTGTGTGTGTGTGTGTGTGTGTGTGTGTGTGTGTGTGTGTGTGTGTGTGTGTGTGCGTGCGTGCGTGCGCGCGCGTGCGTGCGTGTGCGTGTGCGTGTGCGTGTGCGTGTGCGTACCTTGGTCTGGGGTGGAATCAGGAAGCTTTTTCCCCCAGATGAAGGAAGGGTTCGCGTCGATCACTTTGGTTACTTGGAGCTCGGTGTCGAATTCGAATAACACTTGGTACTGAGGAGACATTTTGACAAGAGAGTCAATACATGGAGGATTTCCTTTTAAAGTGGAGCAGGTGTTCCTTTATATATGTTGATTCTGGCATTCTATTCTATTTCATACAAGTGTAAATGTATGCACACAAGCTCAGATTTTTTTTCTGCAAGTGCTCACATCAGGTTTTACACGCTCTCGCATTTTGCACCATATCTACCTTCATACATTCTAATCAGGTCAGGAGAACAGTGTACCTTGTTGTCATTGGTGGTGTAAATGACTGAGAGATTCACGTCTCTGTCTCCATGTTTGTCCAGCTTGTATGTTCCAGCACTTCCTGAGCAAAAAAATCAACAGTTTTACTCACAAATATAACTTTTTTTCACAACAACGTCCCCAGAAATCAGCCTCTGGTGTATGTTTCCTGTTCCTGTACTTATGTACACTGAAGTGTTAAAGCTTATTCATACCTTTTAGTATAGAATAATTACAATAACACAAGAAAATGACACAACAACAAAGCTTTCAGAAAAGCACTCCTAAAAATGAAAATTCTTATAAATTCTTATTCTTCTTCTCTTCAATTTTGATAACGGTAATGTTTTCTAGTTAGCTAAGTGGGAATCTAAACCACTTAGCCATGAGATGTGCAGGTTTTCTATGAAACTGGCAACCGCAGTGTGTCATCTGGTGGCTGAATGTTATCAGTTGCACCTTTAATGCTAATTTTTATAGTTGTTTTATTGGGTCATTTGTGAAAAAAACACGTATAAAAAAGCCTGACAGTGTGTCTCTCACTCACATATTCACACCCAATTACACACAGCTGCTGCCTGCAGGACATAACACCTAGTCAGATAAATTAGACTGGGAAAAATGTACATAAGGGACAGCAGCTTCCATCTGTTGGGCTTCACACTAAACAGTAAACAATGCCATCACTAAAGGATGATTTCAGGGTCATGTTGTCAGTATTTTTTCAGCAAGATAACAATCTGTTCATAATTTTGCAATAAAAACCTTATATTGAGTAAGTATATGTGCTGATATGGTATTTTGAGACTCCAAATGTTAACATGTTTTGGCTAATTTAATGAGAAAAGCAGTCATCAGTCATGACAGGGACAATTTAGAAGGGAGACGTCGCCATACTTGTCAACCCTCCCGATTTTCGCGGGAGACTCCCGATTTCATTGCCCTCTCCCGGTTTCCTCCCGGGGTCATATTTCTCCCGCATTTCTGACAAAATCAGATTTACTCAGGACTGTTTCCACTCGGACTTTAATACAGCTACACCATTGTTTGGTTTCCATGGAAACACGTCTCTTTAGTAGCGGGCGCAACTGAAAGTCTGAGAGGGTGAGGCAGATAGTCACAGAAAACAGAACAAAAATCGACAACTACTCTACTCTCTGCTCACTCCTTTCCTGCCCACACATATGCTCTATCAAGGATGGTGCTACAGGCCGCAAGGCATTGCACTTAGAACTACAATATAAGCATGTTAATGTTAATCTAACAGCTCCGGCGATCCACTAGCACCCGCCCCCCCCCCATTTTGCATTTTGAAATGCTCCCGATTTCTGAGGTCTCAAGTATGGACGTCGCACTAAGAGATAATATCCTGTATCTGTGACGTTGGTGAAGTGAATTCAAACACAGATCATGACTAATTGTATCCGCCCAATCAACACCAAAGTAGGGATTTGTCGTATTTTTCACGAGCCATTTATCTTCAGATAATTCAGACAGTAAAATGGCATCTCTCAGACAGAGAAATACGGATAAACTTAACTTGCAAGAAACTTGAGCGGGATTTGGAAACACGCAGCGCTAACATTAGGCTAACATTGGCGAATTAATACGTTAGTGCTTAATATGTTTGTAAGCTTTGTTATTATGTAATGTTAGCTAGATAAAATATAAATACATTCGTCCATGCCCACTTAGAAATGGATCTGAAATGGGTTTTTTTGAGGATTAAACCCATAGCCTACTTGTTACTGGAATGGAAGATAGGTTAATTTCTCCTTTCACCCAATAACTCTTCCTCCTTTCTTACCGTTGAAGGAGATGTTTCTGAACTTAGTCACGTTGACAAACTCCATCTGCTGAGTGTTCGACTGATTCTTCTCAATTATCTCTCTCATCACCTCGCCTATCATCAGCACCGAGTCGTGGTACGCAGCCATGTAATCATTCATCTGCAGAAAGAGAGGAACAAAATAATGAAAAAAAGGAAAATGATCTGCATTGCTTTTAATTAGTACAAGGACCTTTGTTAAAAAATAAATACTTCATGGACCTGGGAAAGAAGGGAAAATCTTGGATATTATCTAAAATGAAAGTGGTAAATTCACACGAAAAAACCTGGATATTCTCTGAGATTAAAATGGGAAATGTTGAAAATAAAATGTGAAAATCTCAGAGATTTAAGTCAAAAATGTAACTCAGAGTTAATAGTCATAGATTTGTAAGATTGGGAAGACCAGCCCTTTAACTAGACAAGCAAACAGCCTGGAGTTTGTAGAGTTTGTATGCTGCTCAAAGTCTTAATGCTAAGCTAAGCTACCTCAGTATAGTTTCTTATTTGCATCATTCAGCAATGACAGTATATCCCTTATATTTCAACTATTGCTTTTAACAGCAGTACGAGGAAGTAATGTGTGAAGTGTCCTCACCGTGTTGTTGTCTTTCAGGTCGGTGTTGATCACGTAGTTTCTGGTGTTGGGCATTGTCACCACCAACACGTTCTTCATGGACGGCAGTGACGATGTGTTGATGTAATATTGATCACTGTAGACACATGCAGAAAGTAATCAGTAAGATTTTACAAGACAGACTGCAAAGAGATTGAAATAGAGATATAAGAGGCACTGACTTGAAAAGATCAATAAGGACAAAGAGAATATCTTTGCTGTCGGCTTGGGAGACTCTCTTCACCTCCTCTACGTCCTTCGGGGATCCACACATTATGAACACTGCAAACAAAGAAGATGTATTAAAACCACAGACCCCTTAATGCAGGGGTGTCAAACTCAAGGCCCGGGGGCCAAATCCGGCCCGCGAATTCATTTTATGTGGCCCCGTAAGAGCTTGCAAAGAATATAACACGTATATTATACGGTTACATGGCACTTTACAGAAGCAGGTTGCCCATAAACTACATGTCCCACAATGCATCTCGTTTTGTGACATGCACACTGAAGAGACTTGCAATTATTTGCCCTGGACTTCTGCTTTCAGACGTAGTTAATTACTTAGTTATTATCCTATCCAATAATAAACCAATTCAGAGGCAATAATGTAATTGAATACATTATTTTTTATATATATTATATATGTATATTTATATAGTTACAACCGGCCCTTTGAGTGCAACCTTTATGCGAATGTGGCCCGCGATGAAATTGAGTTTGACACCCCTGCCTTAATGTATGCATGTCTTGCTTTGTGTGTTTGGGAGACCCTGATTTCCATTTAAATGTCCACTTAAACCTTGAATCTATAGTTAATACCAAACCTAAAATTGCCTTTTTATAGCTGCATCAAAGTAGAACAGAAAGCTATGGTATGTGTTAATCATTGTATACAGGCTATGGCCATGGGGTTCAGAGTGGGAAATGTGCCATTATCCACCTCTGAAAGTCAAAGTTACAAGGTTTTGTTTTATTAAATGACCAACGTCCAGCAGCTTCAGGGAGATTTTCTATACAACCTTGTCCTAAAATGTACGTTCCCATACAGCAGAATGTTCATTACATTTCAAGGACAACATACTGTATTTTTCTCCGAGATTATATTTGTTTTTCACAAATGTGACCAAATCAGTCACATCGTCCCCTAAACACATTTTGAGTTATACACCATTGGAAAGGGGAGATTCTCAACTTTCAGATGATATCCTTACTGGTTTTCTTTACTAAATATTCAGCAAAATATTTCACAAAACAGGATGCTGGTACCAAGACACAATTCAGATAAAAATGCCTTCAAAGAGGGGGATCAAGGCTAAGTACCCCTTGGCCTCCACTTTAGGACAATCACTGGATTAGCTTTGATTTTTAAATCTTTGTTTGTCTATAACAAAGCTTGTCAGCAGGTTTTCCTCTCATAATGTTCAACAGACAGCGGATTCTGCTCTCATGTGCAGTTGATGTTGAAAACTAGGGATATAAATATCAAAGTTCACTCACAAAAGGCAACCAACCCATTGTACAAGAGGGTTGGTACTTCTGGACATCTGACTTTTATCAGAAGTCTGTGTCTGTTAGCTTTTTTAAAAACGTGCACACATATACAATAATCC